CCTCCCCCTCTCCCATGTCCCCCCGGAACTGTCAGTCCCGTTGTTTTCTCCTCCAGATTGTTCATCCAGCCTGTCCTGTCCAGACAGGCCTGCGGAGACAACAACATGCACAAAAACAAGACTGTAAAGTGTTACAGTCTTGGGAACTCACAGCGGCGTTTCTACCCTGTCCTATAGGGTAGCTTTGAATTAGATTGCCTCGATGGCAGGGAGTTTATTTTGGGGCTGAGGGTTTACAGTGTTTTATTTTGTTACTGTTGATGAAGGGCTTTTTGGTGTGATTTTCTTTATATGACATCCACGATAGATAAATCTATAGAGACCATAACTAGAATAATAGTTTTTTAGGTTGTAGCAGAGGAGGATGAGGGGAAATGGGACGATAATAACAATGAGTACAAAAATGAAGAAAATGTTCTAAAACTGAGGATTGTAAACTCCATATATTCAAACCATTGAGTTGTATAGTGTGTGGATTATATGTCAATAAAACTATTTTTTTACAGACAGGTTAAGAAGAGCAAACATTCACACACATATAATATGCTATTCTGTAAATAGGGAGAGAGAATAAGTAAGTAAAGGTCTGGAAGGATAAACTCTATACCAAAAGTTTAGCAAAAGCAATCTCTGGTGGGGCTATGGGTGATCTATCTTCAGCACAAAAAGGCAGATTAGAAAGATAAACTCTCACATTCAGGATAATACAATCCTGGCAGTCTGTTCCACCTGCCACAAGTGACTCACCACCATAGGCTTGCCCCAACAGTGCTCTCTGCTCCTACTTTAGCCTTCTTCTTTACCTGGGCTTCAGTCTGTCAACACTCATTTTCTTCCAAGTCCCCACAACTCTCCTGACCCTGATCCTCCTCTCCTCCACCTTCCTCTACTTCCAATCCTCCTGGTTCTCCAACAGGATTAACTTCCTACATCTTGGACACTGTCCTACCCAAATCCACCCCCAAGGTTCAGAGAACCAACATTCCAATAACTCTTCCAGATCTCAAGTTTAAGGGTAAATAAAAAAATGAACTCTTTGTTAAGGAGGAGACAACGACCACACCCAGGATGTCCCCTTAAATATATAATAGGTTGACCTGTTGATAATTAATGAGTTAAACCTAGTCTGCAGATTTTACAATGCAAGGGCACTGGTCTTCTGACCCAGAACTGTAAAAACCACACACCTCCAAAATTAACTCTCACGGGATGTATAGAAAAGGTATGTCTATTTTTCTTTCAGGGAGGTAAAATTTTTAAAGTTTTTTTTTTTAGCTAATAAAATTTTATTGTTCAAAATGTACAGTTGGTTGGACCTGCTTGTGCACTTCCATCCTTTGTGGTCCTCTAAAGTTTTTTTTCTTCTCCTTTGCTGTTTAAAAATGTGTGAAATTTGGTCCAGGCTCTCTAAGCCAATGAAGTCTGCCTACATACGTATACTGCCAGGTTTACACAATTAAAAGGAATCTGCTTTCCATGTTGATGAAGATACGTCCATGTTAGGGAGATATAATTTATCTTTTTCTTTAATATACTGCAATTTAAGGTTTAATTTTTTAAGAGACCCTGACATGCCCGCCCTCCCTCCCAACCCAAATGCCCCGCCCACTTCAGGTCAGCAGATAGGGTCTCTCAAATCCCTGTCCTCGCTCCCCTATCTTTATTCTGAGCGCTTCCACACCTCCCGCTTCAACAACCCCTCCAGGTTATCACCACCCTCTTATGGCCACTAGCCCCTCCTCCAGGCCCCCACCATTCACTGAGGCTCCTAGCGGTCAGTCCTTCCAAGTTCCCACCATCCTCCTACCCTGCCCTGACTGACTGACACACACACACCCACCCTGGTTTTCTCCCAGCGCCTCAGGTAAGCAGCAGCGTATCAGCGTCACCTGCGGTAATGTCCGTGCTCCAGCCCTTCCGGCCTCCCCGCCCCCCCCTCCCCCCGCACTCTGGGTGGCGGTGGCGATGCCGTTGCCAAGGTGACGACGCCCCTCTTCCCAGTGCCCCAGGGGCAGGGGAAGGTGCTGTCGTGTTGACAGGACTGATAAAGGGGCTCAAGGACGGAAAGGTGCTGGCTTTAGGAATATTGAGGACTTGGAAGAGCTGCTTACCTGAGGCGCTGGGAGACGCGCGAAGTCGGGGAGAACCAGGGCAGATGCTGACAATTCCAGTGGCTTCAGACGCGGCAGCGAGCGCAAGGAGGCCAGAGGCGCTCTGGGTCGCTCAGGCGCCTGCGCTGGTGAGGCGGCGGCTCAGTGTGCGCATGCGCTCGGCTCAGTGTGCGCATGCGCTCGGCTCAGTGTGCGCATGCGCTCGGCTCAGTGTGCGCATGCGCTCGGCGCAGCGTACACCCTGTAGGGTCGAACGGCAGTAGGGCCCACGCCGCTCCTGAGTTCTGCTCCGCCGGCGGCGCTGGTCTGTCCCCAGTTGGCGTGGTTTTGTACCCTACGTCTCCGTTTCGGCCGGCGCCACGGCTTTGCCCGCGTCTTTTATGCCGAAAAAGAAGTTTTTAGCTTGTCTTTTATTTTTCAAATCCCGATGTAGAGTAAGAAATTGAAAGACAGGCCGGGTTTAGTCTCCTGCCCCTTGCGGAGACTGTCCCAAGGGCTTTCCTCCACCGTCAGCAAGTTTGTTGGCGGCAACTGTCGCCCCCATTTTACGGACGCGGAATTCGGGTGACCGGGGATGGACAAGGAGACGCGCGTGTTCGCCGAGAAGCACTTCCAAGACCTTCGGGATCGTCTGCCAGTCGCAGTCAGCCGGACCCCAGACTGCGTGGACTTCATCGAGAACCCCGACGCCTTCTCCTACAAGGACTTCTTTAAGGGCTACTTACTTCCCAATGTGCCCTGTGTTTTCTCCAGAGCCTTCACCGAGGACTGGGGCAGCAGGAAGTGCTGGGTGACGCCCGATGGGAAGCCCGACTTTGATTATCTGCTTCAGACTTACGGTGAGGACTGTGGGAAGCGCGGCGGGGCTTTCGGCTGGATGTTCCTTGACTAGCTCTCAGCGCGGGGCTGCCCCGCGCTGGGAACCCTGAGCGCATTCCTGAACCATGCCAGGGCCAGTGCCCTCTGACCGAGACGGTGGCTCTTCCCCACGTGCCCCTAGACCCCGGTCAGATTATAGGGGCGCGAATGCGAGGAGCCAGGGAGGCAAGGCATGAGTGAGAATTATCTGGTATCGGTGTTGGCAGTGAATTGGAGGGCCCGGACAAGGTCTGGGAGGATAGGTCAGCTCAGAGCACAAACTTGTCATGTCCCTCTTGTTCCAGGTGACGTGGTTGTACCTGTGGCAAACTGCGGTGTTCAGGAATACAACTCCAATCCCAAAGAACACATGCCCCTCAGAGACTACATCAAGTACTGGAAAGAGTACATCCAGGCGGACTACTCCTCTCCCAAAGGCTGTCTGTACCTCAAAGACTGGCACCTGTGCAGGTAAAGGGGCCCCGAGACCTTTCCATGAACTAAATGACCCCTGGTGGCTTTCTGGTGACGTTTTGGGCTGCTAACCCCAAGGTCAGCAGTTTGAAACCATCAGCCACTCCTCGGAAGAAAGATGAGGTTTTTTGCTCCCATGGAGAGTAACAGTCTTGGAAACCCACAGGGACACTGCTTCCCTGCCCTGTCCGGTTGCCCCAGTGAGTTTGAGTTTTTTAAATGAACCCAGACTTTTCTGCCTTTGAGGCTGTCAGCTGTGCCTACCAAAACCCTTTCTTTTTCTCATTAGGCATTTTAATCAGGGTACCAGAAAGCAATTCCCTTCAGCTTGATTTCAAGTGTTATTTTTCAGAACAGCGCCCTCGTATGCTGTTCTTCTCCACCATGTTTGCCCAGAGTCATCTGTGAAGATTCCTCTATACCCTCCCCATCCAACTGGCATCATGATTATCTGCTTCATGCTAATCCTTCTTCCTTTCAGATGCCCGTAGAACCTTCCTCTCTTTTCCACTTCTTTTTCAGTTCAGACCCTGCCCTTTCCTTCACTTGTTGCTACAGGAACCTCTGGATTGAGCTCCCCAAAACTAACCTAGCCCCCTCCCTTGCTAGGCTCTTAGAAGGTTGTCAAAATGATCCTTTCAGTAGGATTGTGCTCTGCCCCATGGTTAAAACCCCCATCGCATTAAAGTAGCATTCAGAACTTTTCACAGTGTATCCCCACCTACCATTGCTGGGCAGCTCCTCTGTACCCCTCAAGACCCAGCTCAAATGACCCCATTCTGAGATGTTTTCATGAAAAGATGGTCTCCCACAGCACCACTCCAACTCCAGCCCAAGGCTATTCTTTTCATGAACAGACCACATGATCAGACTCCTGCCACTTGGCACGGAGCCCAGCACATAGTAGTTACTCAGTTAATGTTGAACGAACAAGACAATTGGATTCCTGTTGTAGTGATGTGGAAATTAAGGCTCAAGAAGGTAAAGTGTGCATAGAACCCAGGCCGCTTGGATTGTGATTCTCAGGATCAATGTAATAGTGCATAGACAGATACATGAACCTAAACACTGTCATGAATCTTGAGTGTGGGTTTTAAATTAATAATGAGCCTCCTACCTTGCCCTCTGACCTACCATCACTCAGGACTTTCCCTTCCTGATGACGTTCACTGGTAAAACAGCAAAGGAGGCTCACAGAGCCAAGAAAAATTAATAAAATGTCTACAGTACATTAAGAAGCCCCCCTGGATAACCTAGAACTGGCCTAAGAAAGTATGTGAGTCATCTGGGTCTCTGCCAGTGCCAGTTACCTACTGTCATTTAACAAGAGATTCCAAGGCCACTATTTGCTCTCCTTTATTATGTGCCTCAGCAATTCGAACAGGGCTCTACTGAGCCATTCTTCTGAGTCTCCCTGGATGTCTCAGTGTGTCCTTAGATGATGACTCAACTGGCTGAAGGATCTGAGATGGCCCCACTCACTGGCAGTTAGCCTTGGCTGGTGACCTTGACCACGGTCACCTTACAATGAAGAGAGAGCTGTGAGTATGTCTCCACAGTGCTTTTTGTCTCTCATTAGTCAATGTCCTGTTGACCAAAACCGAAGACCCAGTCCAGCCTCAGTGTGGGGCCTGCAGAGGGAGGGGAGCTACAGGGCCTGTTCTTCCTACCATTTCCCCTGTGTGCTCTCCACAGGGACTCCTCGGCAGAGGATGTGTACTCCCTGCCCGTGTACTTCTCATCAGACTGGCTGAACGAATACTGGGACGCCATCAACGTGGATGACTACCGCTTCGTCTACATGGGGCCTAGGGGTACCTGGTAATGCTGGGCGCCCAACAGCTCCCTAAGGCTGCAGGGTCTGCCATCTTTCCTTCCTTCCGGACTGCCTCAGATCTCGGCCCGAACCTTCCCTACCAGTATGTCAGCCTTTGTCCAGAGCTTCTTGGAGCTTCCCATTAGGGAGGCTAACAAGTTGACCTGTGAGTGTGGCATTCCGAGTCCTTCCTGTCTGACCCAGTCCACTCTCCCTGCCTCCACCCCGAGCCTGTACGGCTTCGGTAGTCATTCTTGGGGCCAAGTGAGGGAGGTGTGGACTACCCCTCCGGCTTGCAGCCAGGGTTGTCAGGAGAGGAGCTCCTCAACACAGATGTGAGAGCTGGGGGCAAGAGGGTGGAGAGCCTTGTTCCACATGAATAAGAGGGGCTCCCCCACTTTACTCTGAGGCCTCTAGGATGGTGAGCCCACTAGGCTGCAGACAGTCTCATCCAGAAAAACAAAAGACCACTCCCAAACCAACAGGCACGAACCAAGAGCTCTCGCCACAGGTCGCCATTCCATGCCGACATCTTCCGCTCCTACAGCTGGTCTGTCAACGTCTGCGGGAGGAAAAAGTGGTTCTTGTTTCCACCAGGGCAGGAAGAAGCCCTGCGGGATTGCCATGGGAGCCTGCCCTACGACATGACCTCACCGGCACTCCTTGACGTCCGCCTGCACCCGGCACATGCTCGCTGCAGCACACCATTGGAGGTCACCCAGGAAGCAGGCGAGATGCTGTTCGTACCCAGTGGATGGCATCACCAGGTCCACAACCTGGTAAGGGTGGCACTCCCTGCCCCATGGGCTAGCCCAGACAGAAATCAAGAAGACACACCTGAAGCCGACCAGCCACAGAGATGGAGCTGAACTGAGCTGAGCTCTGGCTTCGGGCACCTGCATCCCTTCCCTCAGGTGCAGGGAGCTTTCCATCTACCATTCACATGTGTCTCCCTCCGCCCAACACCCATAGCCCACCTCATCCTGCAGTACCTGTCCTGGATGCCTTCCTGCAGGACGCACTTCTTGCCCTCTCCCAGTCCCATAGTGGGCAGCCGGCTCCCAGGAAAACGCAATTGGCTGACCCCCGTGTGTGGACACCTGTGATTCATTCACACAGCATTGCTGAAGGCCTCCCCACCACTCTGTCATTTTCCCTCCCATGTCCCTCCTCCCTGGGCCAGTGGTAGGCAAGGGGTCCACAGACGGTAGCCTTGCCCCAGGCCTGCGCTGGCTCCCTTCACCTCCAGAGGCTGGCCAGCACTCAGACCCTCAGGATGCTCATCCAAGCTGGATTATCTGTGGACCAGACTACCCCAGACCTGCCTTCCTCTGCAAGCACAGAGAAGTCTGCTAATATCTTTTGTGTGAGAGGGAGCCACCTGGCCCAAGAGGGCAGGCCTCCATGGTCAAGTTCCAGACCTCACACTATCTATGGCACAGGGCATGGCCCCTTGTTGCCTGCTCACTGCTCATGGACTAGAGGAAAAGGGGTAAAGGTGGTGCCCATCATGGGCTCATGGTACCTATCTGTGCTCTGCCTTGTCTAGGAGGACACCATCTCTATAAACCACAACTGGGTCAACGGCTGTAACCTGGCTCCCATGTGGCACTTCCTGCAGCAGGAGCTCCACGCTGTGCAGCAGGAGATCAGGGAATGGAGAGATGCCATGCCTGACTGGCACCACCACTGCCAGGTATGACCAGACCCGGCAGTCGGGGGTGGGGGTGTCTTCACCCCTTCTCTGAGTTCCGGCTCTGCTGCTATTTCCCTGCCATCGTGAGCATACGCTCTAGCCTGGGATCCAGGGCCTCACAGTGCAGCCCTCAGATAACAGTGTGGGTCTCTGCCCTTTGCCTCCCTCCTACTGCATAAGAAGGACTTGACCAGGCAAAAGCAGACCAGGCCAGCTGTGGGCCCTTGCATAAACATGACCCGGGCTGTGGACATGGGGCAGAGAATCACCGGGGCTGCCGGTGGGAAGGTCTGTGGCAGCATGCAGCAAGTCGCAGAACTAAAGCTGCTGTGTTTAGGAGATACTGCATATACTTGAGTGTAAGCTGACCCGAATATCAGCCGAGGCACCTAATTTTACCACAAAAACTGCATTTAAAATGTGCTCAAAAACTCAGCTTATCATGAGTACATATGGTAGTTTGTTATGTAAACTTGTACCTAAATTTTTATAACTCAAAAACTCACTGCCATTGAGTCGATTGACTCATAGCAAACCAATAGGACAGGATAGAACAGCCCCTGAGGGTTTCCAAGATTGTCACTGTTTACCGGAGTGGAAAGCCTCAAAGCCGCCTCATTCTCCCAGAGAGCAGCTGGTAGTTTCAAACTGCTGACATGACACCACTGGAGTTCCTATCCTGACAAAGCTCGGAGCACCATTTGGGTAGGAAGCTATCTGATATGACCCATCTTTATGGTGGCATACTGTAAGAAGCAGGGATCCAAGTTTATTTCCAGATTCGCTTACTGTATAAACTCGTTTATAAGTTGAGGTTTTTCATGCAGTTTCTGTGGTAAAATCAGGTGCCTCCGCTGATATTCAGGTCGGCTTATTCACATCTGATCACTGTGAGGCCACGAAGCCTCCGGGGGTATCTCTCATTTTTGTCCCCAAATCATTGTGCTTGAGGGCACAGCCCAGGTTTTGAGGTGCTTTGCAGCCTGGGACTCTCCACAGTTGTCTGTTGTATTGTGCTGTTACCCAGCAGTGCCTCACCCCTGCCTTTCTTTCTGGCCCAGGTGATCATGAAGGCCTGTTCAGGGATCAACTACGAAGAGTTTTACCAGTTCCTCAAGATCATCGCTGAAAGGAGGATCCTCATCATGGCACCTGGGGTGCACACTGAGACGACAGCAGGGGATGCTGCCAGCACTGGGCTGAGCACCCAGCAGGCTGCTTTTGACGCCAGTCGCATCGCTGAGGTGTTGGTGTCCTTGATCGCCAACCCAGACTTCCAGAGAGTGGACACCAGCACCTTCTCCCTGCAGCCGGAGGAGCTCCTGAGGCAACTCGAGGAGGCCATCACTGCCGTTGCGAGCCTTTAGCGCTCCTCAGGGAGGGCATGGGGCGTGGACGCATGGTCCACGCTCCACCTTGAGGCACTGTCATGGTAGGTGTTGCCTGGTTTCAGGTGCCCCCTCTGTAAATAAAAGTACTGCCCTCAGATGTGTATCTTCCAAGTATACCCCTTCATCCTGACCTTCATTTGCCTCACTCAAAAAAAAAGGGTCTGAGACAGTCCCTGGCTGTTCATTGGCATTGCAAAGGCCCGGAACCCTTTAACAGCCCCTGAGGTCCTTTCTGGAACTTCTAATTGGGTTGCTTCTTAGATGAGTCCCTGCCAGAACTGAGAGTTTGCTCCGGCACAAGTGGCTAGGAAGGAAAATAGCAGACTGACTACAGCAAAGGTTCTGGGTCCCTGAAGGATGCGGAGTAGTGGGTCAGGAACTGGGGAGTACAGCCGGGGCATTGCTTTGGCCCAGGGCTGTCTTTGAGACAGACCTGAAGATGTCTTTTCCAGGTGTGAGGCCCTCTCTTGAAGGCTTAAGTGCTGGAAACAGACTTAGTCTGGGCATTAGTGCTGATTCATCAGCAAAGTCCCAGTGAGCCACCAGTCTGGGCTCAATGCCAAACAACCCAAATGTCCTGCAGTAGATGACTCAGTAACCAAAATGCATATTCATACAATGGTTGATACTCAACCACCACAAGGAAGTCAAGACTGACATATGTTGTACATTGGAGTATACCTTGAAAATAATAAGCTATGTGTGTTAGTCCGGGTTGACTAGAGAAACAAATTCATAGACACCCCTGTATAAGAAAAAGCTTTATATCAAAAAGCAGTTGTATATTGAGAAAACATCCCAGTCCAGATCAAGTCCATATGTCCGATACCACTCTATAAATTTCTCTTCAGACTCATGCAATAATACAAAATGCAGGAAGATCACAGGCCAGTAGGTGTGGAGTCTTGTGGGTCCAGTGGCAGTGGAATCATCTCAGTGCTGGCATGGGTCTCCACGTGGCCCCTCCAGGTCCAGGGCTCTGGCTCCATCAGCAAGCATATCTCCATATGGCTTGTCAACAGGAAGATGAAGCAGAAAGAGAGTATCTGACCTCCAGTGAGCTATTTATCTCCTTTGTGCCTCCAAATGAGGTCATCAAGCTGCGACCTGATTGACAGACTAGACTCCACCCCTTCTTCAAGTTGACAGTACATTATGTAACTGCCACACTCTGAAAGAAGCCAGATCCAGAAACCATGTACTCTGATTCCATTCAGATGAAAAATCCAGAGTGGATAAATTCATAGACAGAAAGCCCATACTGTGGCCCGGGCCTAGTTTGAAGAGGGCAGTGTGTGGTAGATTTCTGTGGTGGTGAACGTGTTCGGGAACCAGATGGTGGTCATGGTTGAACAGCGTAAGTACATAAAGTGAGCTTAAACCAAAAAGTATGAAGGGGCTATGCTACCCAAAAAAGGACCCAAGTGAGGGGCAGCAAAGCCGCAGTGCTCATGCTGGCTATACAGTACAGCCCCGGTACTCGACCGCTTCAGTAATCGACATACAGTAACCGGGTTTCCGTGTGAAACGTCCAACGAAACATTGGAATCTGACCCGACACGTGACTCTTGTAAACAAAAGCAGTTCATGTTTTGGTCACAGCATTAGTTGGTGTTGTTAGTATGTGTTCTTTAAACCTTTTGCGGCTGTGATCCAAGCATTTTGCTATATTTTTCTTAGTTTTTGTACTGTTTTTGGATGAAAAACATGGGTCCTAAAGAGTTTTTTGAAAAGAATCATCATGATAAGGAACTAGTTAACCGTGTTATTGATGTTGTTGATGATAATTTAGTAAACTCTGTTTAGAAAACAGTTAAACGCCAACAGTAGACCAAATAAAGCAGATTTTTTTTTTTTTTAAGAAAGTCAGTCAGATCCTAGTGAAAAAAGGCAAAGAAGGGAGAAAACTGAAAATCAGCTACGAGTTGATTTTTATGGAAGGGGATTCCCCTTCCAAACAATGACTCTCTCCACACCTCCTCTCCACACCGTGTCCACAGATCCAGATCCTCATCAATCTCCAGGTATGGGCCATATTGTAGTTGTGAATAACTTTTTTAATGTGTTTAAGTCTTATTTATGTTATTTAACTATGAACTTATTTACTTTGAGATTTCTGTGTAATTTTTTTTATAAAAAGGCAAGGTTAGGGTAAAAACTTGGTGGTCGAGAACCAATTAATCCGTTTTCAGTTCTTATGGGAAAAATTGATTCGGAACTCAACTGCATCGCATCTCGACCCTCCTAGAACAGATTAGCGTTGAGGTCCGGGGTTCTACTGTAGTCTTGTTCTAGGTATTATACTTTTGAATATGCATATCCTTTGATGCAGAAACCCCATCCCTGGGACCCAATCCAGGCAGAGAATATCAGTGTATTAGGACACATCAGTTTGTTTACCACAGCAACCCTGATATGGCAACAGAAAGAAATCAAGTTCGGGACCAACTGCAACAGCCTACCTCCTTTCTAGAATATTCTGTGGCTGAGTAAGGTCACAGCTCAGGACGTGGAGGGAGGTTGGTGATATGCTCTCTGAGATGTCAAGTTGCCAGGAAAAAACAACACATGAGCGTAAGCACCCATGCCCATGACCTACCTGCCCATTTCGACATAAAGAACCTTATTAAGCATAACGATATGAAAGGCTTGGGGAAAGTGTGGGAGGATAGCAAGCAGAATGCGCCATGAGGTATCTGGGCCCAGGGAGCGAGCTTAATGATCAACAGTTGCAAAATGTAGAACTAGTCATGGCCTAAGGAGAGTGAAAATAGTATAAATTACTTGTGTCCAATATCCTTACAAATATGGGAAAAGTCACTTTGCACTTGGCCAAAGCTGAGGTTGGGCTGCGAGGCTGAGGGTGATGATGAGTTCCCTTTGTGACAGAAAGGTGGGTCACTCAGGGTAGACAGCCCTGTTAGGGATCTCCACGGAGTCTCCAAGGTGGTGTCTGGACCCAGAGACCCTCTCTGGGTCCCTTGAAGCCCCCCTGCACCTGCACTCGCCCTGAGCCTGCGCTGGTCATCTTGGCCCCTTGCTCAGGGGAGAAGGAGTTGAAGATCTGTTGTCCTCCTCTCTGGCCTCCTACAGGGGGTTCTGCAAAGACAGTGCCTGGTCACAGACTTAGGAATCATCAGAGTCCTGCCTTACCACTGCCACGGGGGGGATACCCCCACATGACCTTCTGCAGCCCTGGCAGAGACAGGTATCTGCCCAGACCTCCAGCCTTGGGGAAAATAAACTGACAGTTCCAGGCCTCAGAATGAATGTTGAAAGCAGGTATCTCACCCAGTCCTACTCTTCTTGTGTCATGGTGGATGTGGGGATAAGTATGAAGATGTCCATGGGATCACGGATCCTGGGGGAAGCCCCTTCTCTGCGAGGCTGCTACCTCGCTTGATGCAGTTGACTGCATCTGGGCCCTGCCATCTGGGATCCCCCATTTCCCCCATCTGTCACATTTTTGAATAGCATGTTCACATTCCCAGGTCATGGCTGTCAGGGTGGGAGATACCTGCTTTCAACGTTTACCACTTTCTAACCTCCCTGGACAAACTCACTGCTCCCTCTGAGTTTCTGCGTCACGGTGCTTCCTCCCAGACTTGCGCAGGCTGGCTGGTGCCTTTTTGACCGTCCGTAATGGAAATCACATCCATTTCTTCTTTGGTGCATGACAGCTGCCAAGCAGGACAGCTCTCCCAGCTGCACCCTCCCCTGCCCTTAGGCCATCCTGCTCAGTCCTCTTGGCTATCAGCCTCTTCATTGCTAACCGCCCAGCTAACAGACAGTGAAGCAGCCCACTCTGCTCTCTGCTGTTAGGCTTTGCTATTGTTACCTGACCCAGCCCATAACCAGAGTAGTGGCCCTCTCTTTGTCCCCCATGTCCCCTCTGGGCTTCTCTTCATCTTCAATGGTCAGACTTTGACCTGTATTACAGCTCTTTTTAGGATGCTTCCCTTACGAGTACCCCAAGTCCAGGCTCTTCTTGGTTTGAGGTGTAACCAAACATCTAGTCAAATCAGTGCTGATCCAGGAACTAGAGAGGACCACCAGATGGCAGTGTTGTTAACCGGGCTGTTGATGGAGGATACACACTGATGGGACCCCACCTGCTGCTCCTTGAGAGCGAGAAGAGTTCTGTAACGAATTGGTCTTGGAAACCCACAGGGGCCGTTTTCCTGGTCTTATGGGGTTGCTGTGCGTCAGAATTGACTCCATGGCTTTGAGTGAGGACGCGCTTTGACAGGTTTGCAGGCGTGAGAAATTCCTTATGTCATTAAACTTTCCAAAGACAAAATACTGGGGTACCCCAGAAGCTGTTGGACACCTCAGGGTAGAGAGGAACTGAAGAGGGCTCATATATCAGGTGTCTGGGTGAGAGAGTTCCGAAGGCCAACAGCTGCTTGTGGTCTTTTATGCTCATCTTCTCTCAGGCTAGCAGATTTGGGGTATACTGTTCCCGGGGTATTTAAAGCAGGAAGGTTCTAAATGGCTCAGCGGCTGCTTGTGTAATTGCTAGAGGCCACTGAGTCAGCCCTGGACTCCTAGGACCCCCTGCACCATGGAATTAGATGCTGCTGCTTTTGTGAATTATATGTGACCCCCACCCTTCAGGCTTTTACACAGAAGAATCATTTAAACCTTGGACCAAAATTCTCTGAGATCATCTAAACCAGTGATTCTCAACCTTCCTAATGCTGCTACCCTTTAATACAGTTCCTCATGTTGTAGTGCTCCCCCCCCACACACCATAAAATTATTTTCATTGCTACTTCATAATTGTCATTTTACTACTGTTATGAATTGGGCAACCCCTGTGAAAGGGTCATTCGACCCCCAAAGGGGTCGTGACCCACAGGTTGAGAACCACTGATCTAAACCATAGCTGAGCTGAATCAGAGGAGAATGTCTGCCTTGAGCAAGGTTTTGTTTTGTTTTTAAAGAATTAGCTATATGAGATCAAGATAGTCAGCAGGAAAGGTTGGGTGAGAGGCTTGGGGTGCAGAGTTCATACTGATGGCGATGAGCCACGTGTAGAGAGATCAAGAAGGGTGGCGCAGCCGGAGTAGTGCCGGCAGCAGTGTCACTGACCTGTGTGCACAGACAGGGTTTT